TCCGGCGATTCATCCCGAAGGCCTTCTATGATGACTTGTACTATTTCTTCTTCACCAATGGGAGCACGGGCAGCGATCTCTTGCATTTGCAAAATGTATCCAAGAACTGACATCTTCTGGGGTATGAACATAGTTGTCTTCAAAAGATTTAAGACATCCAATACTGAGAACGGTTGGCTGAATGTTTGAAGAAAGTGTTGTTTAAAGTCAGCATAATTTGTTGACTGATCAATGCGCAAGAATATTTCCGCTTCACAATTTGGCTTCATAAGTCGCCGAACGGATTTAAGCTTAAAAACGTCATCACCGTTCACAGAGTCACAAATCTGTTCGAAATCAGCAATCCACTTTTTGGCGTCATATGCATCGGAGCCAGGGTATAGGACAATGGCATGAACAATGTCACTGAATTCAACACTGGGTTTGCCAGAGCTCTGACGCAACTCCATAAGCGCACTCTTCAATTGGAACAATTCAATTTCAGCATTTATAACTGTTTTTTCAGCTTCAATTTCGAGAAGGCGATCGGCATTTTGATTTGATGTCGTTGAGGGCGTTGCCTCTACCAATTTGTTCTCCACAATTGTATTTTCATCCATTTCACTGTTTGCGCTTGAATTCAAGGTCGATGATGCGCTCTCGCTGTCGCCAAGAAATTTAATGGTTGTGTAGCCGTGTGCAATTGCCAATAGACGAAGTTGTCTCAATGTAGCACTTGGGTTAAATTCGACGTTATTCAAGTTGAGCCAAGCAATAATTTCGCCTTTGTTCATGTTACAATGTTAGGGACTAAACAATTTTTCCCGCAATTTCACAATTTTTGCCGCCTCTTCAATACAATACCAAGCGTCAAAGCAATTGGGTTGTCTCTTTCTCTCTCACGCAGTCATCACTCCAATTCAATGTTTGTGTGTGTATATGCGACGACTTATTCGGAAAAAATTCCGTAGTGTCGCGCACAACAATATCAAATTTTTCGGCACATAAACTTGCAGGCGCTTTTTGTTGGGGGCAATCCCACTTCTGAAGTTGTTATACCTCCAATAATTGATGAATATAAAGTCACGTGTTGCTCTTGCTTGTCTCTAACGCTGAATGTATTCTTAGTGATCATACTTCTTACATCGATAACTGAATTACGTTGGGGTGGACTAACTCCGATAACCATACGATTAATACCACAACAATACATTTAAATTTTTCATGCAGGCGTTATCCGCCTATATACATACATACATATATAAGTATGTATAAAATTTTTTAATTCAACACTAATTTGTGTCTTCAATTCCAAATATGATTGTTGTGAATGTAAAAGGTGTGTTTCTGCTTTTGTAAATCGCATGAATACACTCACAAAATAGGCTTAACTATAAATGACTCTTAGATGTGTTCAGAATACATTTGTAGTCTTGTTAGCTAACACTAAAATGGTAAGTCGCTGTAAATATGCGATCAGCTGAGATGCTAGAGATGGGCATGTGTCGGATGCTCTAGCACAGAGCATCAAAACTATCGATAGTTGAATCCGTCGATACAATCAATAATTCCATCGAAGTTTGAATGCAATTAACAGAAAATTTAAATAATAACATCTTATAATTTATTGAGATCAATTAGAACAAATCATATACAAACATACATATGTACATATGTACATCTGCCCGCAACGCGAAGCAGAATATGCGTAGGTCCGCTTTCGGTTTCTGCTTGACTATATTACGCAGTCGTTGCCTAGCGACGGTAACTGTAAACTTTTGGCATTTTGCCTTTGAAATTAACGAAAACGAAACAAACGCGAGCCAATGACTTGCAGTTGTTGTTGTTTTTCGTTTTAAAAATTACTTTTAAAAATGTTAAATAAATTTTAATTAATTAACATTTCTTGCTCTGTCAGTCCGCATATATAGATGTGTACATGTACATAGATGTGTACATATGTATGTGTGTACATTCACACATTAGTGTCTCACATTTTGCTTTGGCTATTTCAATCGTTTGCACGCAACTACACGAACAGCTGCTTGTATGCATGTGTGTGTGTATGTATACTTAGTTGTCCCCAACTGTTTGATATTTTGTATTGTTTGTTCTGCCTGTATGTTGATCGGTGCAGAAATGCAGAATTTTCAAACAAAGTTTGGAGCTCGTTTTCCCCCCATTGGAGTTCGAATTTTCCAAAATCCCTTATTAGTGGGCACCTTCACTATGATAGAATCCTTGAGCCCAAATTTCAGCTTTATAGCTCTTGCCGTTTAGGCTGTGCGCTGTTGACGCGGTTTCCTTTTGTGTCCCATTTTTTTTTACAGGAAAACTCCCATATTTCAGTCCCCAAAATTTCAAAAAACCAATACACAGTTTTTCTTGGAATTTTTCTGAGAGTATACAAACTAAGTTTGAAGTAAATCAGATGAAAATTGTAGATTTTTCATACAAAAGTTGGAGCCTGTTTTCCCCCTTTGGAGCTCGAATTTTCCAAAATCCTTTCTTAGTGGGCACCTACACTATGAAAGGATATTTGAGTCCAAATTTCCTAGCTTTTACCGTTTGGGCTGTACGTTGATCACCAATCAGTCAGTCAGGACAAACTGTTTTATATATGGGCATGTCTCTAGAAATGTCAACCGCAGCCAAAAAATTCAAAGTCTGTAAAAGTATGATGTTTTAACATATTTGTATAGAGAATCTATCAAATTTAACTAATGTAATCAAATTTTACATTTATTCATAACACATTTCGAAAAATTCAAATGCAAAGTCGAACAACTGCAAAAGTTAAGTTTTTAACACATCTGTTGCACGTTTTGTTTTGATTAATGTTCTTAATGAGAGACATTATGCATTCATATTTGCTCTATAAAATATTGGTTTATATTTAAGCAATATAAGAAAAATGTAAAAGGAACGATGCGATTGCCAATTATGGTAAATTTTTAACTTTGCTTTAAGGTATATTTGGATGTCGCGTGCGACATCGAAAAAGTACATTTGTTATCAGAGCGTCAAAGGTATTTGTACAAGGAGCGTTAAATATTAGCTGCAAACACAGTTTTTTATTTCAAATAATATTTTAAAAAATTTGCCGCAAAATAGTCAGTGCTTTGGTCGCAGAACCTATTTAAATACAAAATATCACTTTAAAAACGTATTTTTTTTTGTTTTAAACCTTTTATTCGAAATTAAAAGCTTGTACAGGGTGCGCCATCTTTTATGTCGGTATGTAGATATTGAATAACTTTGTCATTAGTGAACCGATTGACTTGAGAAGACCAGTGTTGAAAACCTCAGTTCAAGAAATTGTACAGAACCAAATTAAATTAAAATATCTCATACTTGAAAATCGGTTGTTTATTTTCAAGGATATTCAATGTTTGCATACCGACATAAAAGATGGCGCACCCTGTATGGGCATAATTTTAATATTTTCGAATGGAAGCTGCAGTCAATTCAAAAAAAATATATTTTGACAAGCTTGACTGACATAATTAAAGATATTGGATGCTTGTATATCGAATGGAATTTTTTTGCAAGTTCTCACGGGAAGGGAGCAGTTGATGGACTTGGTGCCGTAATTAAAAGAAAAGTGTGGCAAATAACCAAATCGAAAAACATTGTTTTAGAGGATGCTCTTTCGTTTTATCAATGTGCAGAAAACAACATTAATAGAACTAAAATATATTTTATGCCTTCTGCTGAAATTGAAAAGTTGTCCCTTTATTATAAGTTAAACGAAAAATGGAAGGAAGTGAAGAGTATACTAGGTATATCTCAGTTACATTCATTTATTTGCGATGGTCCTCAGGTAAAAGGAGCTAGGACTGCATATTCCATTAAAAAAAATATATATATGTGGCATAAGTAATGCTATTAAGTAAAGTTAAGTTAGTTTCTCTTATTCTTATATATGTAGATGAATACACATTTTTGTTTTTCTTTATTGAAGAAAATTTGTTATAATTTTTATTTTGGAAAACAAAAATATGTATATAACAATCATTTATAATCATCTTATGTATTTCTAATTCCTTTTCCTTCATCTTTTGTATTTCTAATTGCATAAAAAGTAAAAAAAAACACATAAAAAGTATGATGGAAGAAAATGTCGCGTGCGACAGTGATTAAAATTAAATAATAATTAAACTACATAATATTTTTGAATCAAATAAAAAGCATTATTAAGATACATCAATGCATAACATCTTAAAATTAGTCGCATTAAAATGTTCCTTCAGGTTTCGCTGAAATCGGTGTTTGAACTGTTCGCCGAGAAAGCGACTTCTATATATGTCGCGTGCGAATGCCTTGGTTTTTTTTTAATTATCTGGAAAACTAACCGATCCCCAAAATCCACCTTAGCACCAATAATAGAGCTAGTCAAGAGTTAAAACTTTCTCCTTTTGAGAAAACAAAATTATGTTTTGACATATTTTTTTTTTTTACTTAGAATGCGTACGAATGTCGCATTCGACATTAGAGACATGCCCATATATAGAGATGAATATGAATAATTTGTATTTAATTTAATTAAATAATTTAATTAATATAAATTTAAAATTAATTTAATTTTTTTTCTTTTTTCCTTTTTGGTGGGTACAGGGTATTTAAGAGTTGAGCTCGGTCGACTTTAGCATTCCTTTCTTGTTTTATTTTCTATAATTATTCTACACATATGTACAGAGTATTTTAAAGTCGCGACACCCGACTTTAGCTTTTCCACTTGTTTAAAATTATGTTAACAAAATTTGTTTTTAAATTTTTTCATTTTTTATGGAAGTGGTTAAGTAGGTACAAGGTATTTAAGTGTTGAACCCATCCGACACCTTCATTCCTTTCTTGTTTTTGTTCAATTTTATTACAATTTTAAATTTGTGTAATTTGCTACACATAGTGGTACATAATATTTTACACTTGTTTACATTATTTCTCGTTTGTATTTCATTGCGTCTTTACGGAATTACTCCCTGGTCTTCACATAAAAAATAAAAATAATACACAATCAGTGGGTTGCTGAAGGTTCTCCCACCCACTCAACGCCGGTTAAAATCGAAGATCCGTTGCAATTTGTTCCAGCTGGAACATCGACGAAGGAGTTTAAGCGAGTCCAACAACAGGTCAGCACAGTAACTTAACCTCTTAATATCTACAACATAATTATTGCACTCATTTAGATAAAGGACAACCGTCGCGCTGACAAAATATCTGCTGGGCCACAATCGCATATACTTGAGAGTGTGACATGGGATGAAGCTAACCGCATTAAAGATGCGACTGTCTCACAAGCTGGTGACCATGTGGTATTAATGGGTGCCGCTTCCAAAGGCATTATTCAGCGCGGCTTCCAACATAATGCAACCGTCTATAAAGCACCGTACGCTAAAAATCCATTTGACAATGTGACAGATGATGAGTTAAACGAGTATAAACGAACTGTAGAGCGCAAAAAAAAGAGCATTCATGGGGAATGTTAGTACAAAGGCTGTGATTTTAGCTCTTAATTGGTTCAATTTTAAGCTCTCTTTATTCCAGATACCGATACTGATTTTTCCGAATCTGAGCCAGTTAACTCATTGCAAGGAGCCATTCAACAAACGAAACATACACAAAGTGAGCCAGAGACCGGTAAGTAACGAGTGTATGCGATCAAATAAAAGCTAATATATTTCGTACTTGGGGCTTAAGAGCACCAAATTATACAAATACAAACACAGCAAGCGCCAATACCGAGCCAGGCAGAGGTTGTACTAAGCGATGGTATGTACTTACTGTATTTTTATAACCGTAAATTTATATATGCACTTAAATGTTTGTTTTTTCAATTATTGTCTAACACATAAATATGTGTTATGTGTAACTTATTTAATAATCGAAAACTTGTTCATCGCAATTGGTTTATATAATACAGTTTGCAAGTGCAAAGCAAATAGGCAAAACAATGTATAATATTGATATTACCGATATTTTAATATAGATATATATGTTTTGTATATAAAAATTTTGTCCCTTATGCTTTGTGATGTTTTGTCATACATATGTTTTTTATCAGATCTTAATCTGTATACCGTTACAATTAAAAAGAATACCAAGTCACGGATTTCATAGAAAGTTATTAATTGTGCATTTTATCCTTTTACATTTTAAGTGTGTGGCATATATTATATTCAGAAAAAAAAATTGAACTGTCAATCAGATTTATTTGAGACTTCTTAAAAGCCGTATCGTTGTGTTTTGGCGAACTTAAAATTAATAATAACTTAAAATGCTCTGCGGAAACGAGCTAAACACAGAAAATAAAATAAAAATCAGAATTATGGCTGATGGTAACATTAAAGTCAGTGTTATTGCTAAAGCAATAATCAAGAATCGGAGTAACGTCTTAAACTTTTTAAAATTTCCACAAAAAAAAGCTAAAAACCACTGGAAAGGGGTGTAAAAGACATATTCGAACTTTGGTAACCACCAAAGTGATGAGTTGCGCCCAAATCAGGGCAGAATTAAAGATGTCTGGGCTACACTTGCAACAAAGAAGGGAAATAGGACTTCAAGGTGCATAAACCAAAGCAATTGAACCGATAGAAAATGGTCCGTCTTGCTTTTTACGACAAATACAGTTTTTGCGACAGGGAATTCAAAATGTCAACTTCAGTGGCTTAAATCCATTTGTGGACCTTTGAGGCATCCTATCAGGCAAAGTAAGAAAACAATTTGACCCTTTACAAAATTGTCTGGGAATGGCCAAAAATTTACATAATGGCCTTCAAAAGTTCGTTATTCCATATCCTGAAGGTTGCAATTGTTTAAATAACAATAGGGAAATACTAAGTACATACTGTACTTTTAGTATGATGACTAAAACCATAAGTAAATTATATTCAAAATGTAAATAATAATTATAATTTGAGTTTATTTTCATTTGCACAAATATTGACTTTCTTTGAAAAATTTGTTTACCTTAATTTATTATTAAGTACTTGCTGAGATCGTTGCGCTCATACAGACAGGCGGACATAGCTATATCGACTTGTCTTGTCATCCTGATCAATAATATATATTATTGTGGGGTCTGCCACGTCTCCTTCTGTGTGTTACATACATTCGCACAAAACTAATATAGCCTTTTACCCTTTGGGTACAGGCTATAAAAAACAAGTAAAAATCCAACATGCAAGAGTTTCTAATAAACTTATAAAAACAAGTTACACAAATATCAAATGCAAAATTGTCGGTCTTAAAGTAAAGCTCATTCTACATTCTACTATGTACAGTTTTAAAAAACGCTGCATCGAATATTGATCGACATTATTAGGTACTGGCACCTTTTGATAGGTATTAATTTGTTCAAATAATATTGGAAATTTCCACAACAAATTTTCACCAGCACCAAAAAATTTTAACAAAAGTTATTATATAATTATTAGGCGAAGCGGTTTTTATTCGAATTCTTTTTACCATGATGAACAAATGGACGTCAAGGTTGCATAAATATAATTCGAATCGAGAAGGCTCAGCTCTCAAATACCATGTCAATACTGTCCACATTTCGAGAGCTATATTAACCAAACTTTGCGCACGCAATCTACATGTATACAATTATCTCCTTTTGTTTTATCCAAATCGGTCAATTCTAAAAATAGTTATTAGCGAAACAATTTCACTCCAGTATAAGAAACTGCAGCATCAAGTTCACTCTTGGTATTTTTACTTCTTTTGTGGTCGCATATAACTTAGTGCCGGTAGTTTGTCTGCGTACAGGGTCTTACATTGCACTGTGGTCCAGAAGCCCGTTTTTTCGGCATAAAGTCCAAAAAGAAGGTATCGTCTTCAAAATTGGCACATATAAAATGTATGCTATTAGAAATTAATAGAAAAAAATGTGGGTGGATTGGACCACTCCCACTCCTACCTCCTATACATCTCTATGACCCTGTGAGCATTTTCAGTGTCTTAAACTATGTATTTGTTTAATTTTTAATTATAATAGCAATACTAATATAATTTTATAAACGTATACATATTCAAGTCTTCCCCTCTCTCCTCACGCTATAGAATTTAGTCAATACTGTCCGCATTTTAAAAGCAATATAAACAAAACACACGTGGTACACGTAATCAATATACAATTATATACTTTACTTTAAAATTTCATCCAAATCGGTTAATTCTAAGAATAGTTATTAGCGAAACAATTTCAATCCAGTACTACTCCCACAAACTGCAGCATCAACTACGCTCGCCTTCTTTTTTTTGCTTCTGCTTTGGGCGCATATAACTCAATGCCAGGAGTTTGTCTGGGTATAGGGTATTTCACTGTTGGGCTTGCTCGACAGTACCGTTTTCAATCAAGGCTCAAAATTACCATCAATTTCATTCAGTCAAATTCAGTCATGTTAGAAGCATGCCAATTCGAGTGTTTTTATTAAATTTCTCTAGAGTTCGATTACAAGTTGGCATTAGCTTTTTAATATAACTGGCGAAGGCGCATACTTTTTCCGTAATTATATTCATTTACGATTTTTACTTAAATTTTCTGCAATATATACTGCTTAAATGCGTCTTCTGAAGCTTTGTTGCTGCCCCGAATGTCAATTTTTGCGTGCCAAAACGAGTTTTGCGGCAATAAACATGATTTTTTCGAAAATGGGCAAAAACGTGCAAAATGTGTTATTTTGAGATGAAGAACAACATTTATAAGTACAAGCTGTCGACCTTAGTTTTTGTCAGCAGGTGTCAATTCGTTTTTTATACTCCAAAAAACACAGGGGACGTATGTTAATTTTCTACGAACAACCATATAAATTGGACATTACACGTAAGTCAAAGCCTTGGACTACACATAAAAGTACTATATACAGTAGAAACTATATACTTTGGGCTTTCATTTTCCATTATTAACTTTTATTAATTGGTTTTAATTTATGATCGATTGTTAACTTAAAAGCTCACAAAAAGCTTTAGTGAACCTTTTAATTTTTATACTATGTACATGAAATGTACAAGAGTATATTAGGTTTGCGGGAGCTGAAAAATGTAACAGGCAGAAGGAGGCGTGGGAGATCCCAAAAAGTATATATATTCTTGATCAGCATGACGAGACGAGTCGATCTAGCCCTGTCTGTCTGCCTGTCCGTCTGTCCGTCCGTATGATCACCTAGATCTCAGAGACTATAAGAGATAGAGACACCAAATTTTGCACAAAGATGCCTTATGTGTGTATTCTATACGAGTTTTTATTTTTTTGATTTCCCCCCCCCCCCCCCCCCCCACTTCCCCCATTGGGGGTTTTCCCGATTTTCCATTCGTATAATCGCCTATATCGCGGAGACTATAAGACCTAGGAACACCAAATTTTAGTCCCAGGTGCCTTATGTGAATACGCAGAAAATGTATATTTTGGAATTTCCCTCCCTCCCCCCTCTACCCCGCGAATCGTAACTCCCGTAATTCTTGGAATTTCGAACTAAATTTTTGCAAATAGTTATGTGTCCGTATGCCAAGTTGCACTGTGATAGACCGATTTAACAAGAAGTTATAGCCATAAATATATAAATATAAATATACTAGCAGGTATTGCCCGTCTTAACCCGGCTCAATATAATGTTTCCAATTGTATTTATTTTGTGTGTGCATAACCTACCCATGTTTTCACCTTATAAGTTACCAGTAGGAAGGCATTTAAGGTATTTAAATGAACATTTTCTGTTCTTGACAAAAAATTGTTCAGTAGTCCGTTACATTTTTGTTCTTGCCAAACTATTTCTTTAAACGAACATGACCACTATAACTAATATTTTTTTCAACCTCCCCCCTTTGGAGTTAGAATTTTCCAAAAGCCTTTCTTAGTGTGCTCCTACACTATGATGGATACTATGAAAGGATACTTGAGTCCAAATTTCATCTTTTACCGTTTGGGCTGTGCGTTGATCACCAATTAGTCAGGACAAACTGTTTTATATATAGAGATAACGCAACGTTTTAAGATAGACTATGTGCAAAAAAGGGGAATAATTATAAGGGTATATCCTAATTTTAAATTCACATTTGAGTCAATACGGTCACGCACAAACTCGGAATATGAAACACGGCACTCGTGTCAATGCCGTGCAGCGATGAGCCACGATCAAAAAGCACTGACAATTCTCATCTCAATTTGCTAGAGTAAAACTTTCGATAGTTGAAGCCACCGATACCATCAAAATATCGAAGTTTGAATGCAATAAGCAGAATATTTAAATAATAAAATCTAATTATTTATTGAGATCGATAAGAACAAATCATATACATACATACATCTGCCCGCAATGCGAAGCAGAATATGCGTAGCTCCGTTATTCGGTTTCTGCTTTACTATCGCATACGCAGTCGTTGCTTAGCGACGGTAACTGTAAACTTTTGGCGTTTTGCCTTTGCAATTAACATTAAATGGTCAAAACGAAAGAAGATGAGCGAGCCAACAACTTGAAGTTGTTGTTGTTGTTTTGTATTTACATGCTTCATACATATACAGGCATAGATACATATGCTTGTACATATGTATGTATGCATGGGCACACATAGACACGAACTGTTCCCAACTATTTGATATTTGATATATGGCAAGTAAAACACATATTGCTATATTTTAATCGTTGAATGCCAATTTGTTGATATAGTTATGTTGATTACATTACCCAAATTTGAAATCGATCGGACAAAATTTATAACACAAACTATTCATTTTAAAAAGTGAATAAATATTAAAACCCCAATAATAAAAT